CCCCCTCCAAGCCATGCCCGCCGTCCGGTCCTCCACACCAGAACGGATTAACGGTAATTACATTGAACCTTATGGGGAAATTTCCTTCGGGTTGTGATCAATTCGGGTTGCAGCCAGAGTCACGGAACGAATTAAGTTCGTAAACTGAGGTTCCACTGTATACTTTTATTTTTTTTCAGTGGCTGAAGAACTATCAATATGGAGAAGTTATGTGCAAAGTTTTCATGAGGACTAGATTCAGCCCCATGGGTTTTATTGGGTCTCTTTTATGCATGACTGTATTGTGTGCTGTAGATTTGAACAGGGCTAAGATTCACGAAAACATTTAGCTTTTGAGACACACGATTAACCTTCACAAGGCAGTCTCCCTCTCAGCTTATTTTATCTCACAATGCAAGGTTAAGAAAATAATATGTATCCTAATATTTAACCGCTTATAATGCTAACATTGTTACAAGTTAAACACCATATAGAGAAACTCTTATGCTATTTCTTATGCTATTCTACTTTGAGAAGGCTGAATTTACGTCCTTATAATTTGTATTAGGTGAATCAAGGGAACATTCATATTAGCTTCCTACCACATTTTTGAGTCTTCAGATCTTTCTTGCTTGCAATTTGTGCTTCACTGTTACATTTACGAGTGTTACTTCTAAGTAGGGGAGATTTGTAGGAGAGAATTCACACATCAAGCTACTGGAAGGGTTCCCTGCCCTGGGCAGCAGTCACTTGGGGGTCCAGCAGATAAGACTGCTGTTAATAGACATCAATCTAGAATTCTTAAAAGGAAGGGTTTTTTTTAATACTCAAAGGAAGTTTTTAAATAGTACCTAAATATGATTCAAACGGAGATGTATTTGTATACTGCTAGCTAGTACACACTCTTGGAAAAAGAGCTTTTAAGTGACAGCTACAGTAATCTCCTTATTGTAGATTTCAAAACATCATTCTGCCTATAAAACATTCCAGGTTTACAGGGCAGATTGAGATAATGTAAATGAAATGCTCTGAACTTTTGAAATCTACTGCAATAAACGCTTTTTATAATTATATGCAATGGGTTGGAACCAGGAAAACTGAAAACTCCACTTGCTGAATTTCCCACCGTTACAGTTATCTGTTTCACCTGCAAAATCTATTTTGACAGATCCTCTGAAACAGTATAGGATGGGGCACAATTTGCTGCTACAGGATGGGGAAATCTTTTCTGTGTCTTGAAAAATCTCATTGTCAGCTCTTAAATCAGTATTTATTTATGTATTCATTCATTCAACTTTATTATAGCCACCCATATTCCCACATTTTTCTCAAAGTGGTGTTTGATCTTTCAGGGTTACCAGCTATAGTAGTAGTCATTGTATTGGCAGTATCTCCATATAACTATGGACATGGATCATATGGAAAATTTCCCAATGGCTCATCTGATGAATTGTAAGTAAAACATAGGCAATTGTGTAAAACATTTGTGTGATGGAATGGTTTGATGAAGGCCGCGCTTGGGGAGATAAGCATTTCCTTAGCCCCCAGCAGGAGCGT